TACTGGGATTCAAACTAATACAGCACAGGTTCGAATCCCAGTAAGAGTATGGCTAGCTGATGAGAGCTAAATAGCTTGAAATAGATCTATACTAGTCTCCCTTTATTTGTTTATCAGCACAAATACAACATATATATATATATATATATAGCTGATAAGGAGTCGAACTTAATGGTTAACACATCTGCCTAAGATGCAATACAGCACAAGTTTGAATCCCAGTAAGGGTATGGCTAGCTGATGAGAGCTAAATAGCTTGAAATAGATCTATACTAGTCTCCCTTTATTTATTTATCAGCACAAACACAACACACACACACACACACACATATATAAAATAAACTAATTCTAAAAAAATTGATAACTCTACCCAAATTTCAACTCTCGTAAGTGCCATCTATTCTCTGGCCCTCTTACTGTTGATTGTAAATGTATTCCTTGTGAACGGAGAACCTGAAGGGGAGCCTTACCTGGATTAAGACAAAGAGGCTGGCCAGGAAGATGAAGGTGAGGTTGAAGCCCAGCAGCTCCAGCAGGGAGATGGCCAGGCAACCTTTCTCGCTGCAGTCCTCCACCGCTACAGAGACGGAGTCAAGGAAAGGAAGGAGAAGCACCAACTGATGTTCATGAAAAAGTACCTGGCCCAAGAGGAGAGTAACTGCTTGGCCCCAAACACTGGTCCTGGCCCAGGCCAGCAGGAGTCCTCCAATGGGGGCGACTGGAGTTCTCTCTCCCACGTCAACTTTCAAGATCACCACTCAAACTAGAAAAGATACAGTTCTGAACCACATGGAATTTGATTCTGGTGAAGAGGTGGACGAAAAAGTCAACGAAAAGGCCAACCTGCAGAGGGAAGGCAATTTATTTATTTTTTTAAAAAACCCAACAGTATGGGCAATCCTCGACGTACAACGGTTCATTTAGTGACCGTTCAAAGTTACAAAGTTGGAATGCAGTACTGCAGGCTATTTCCGCTGACTGCAGTTTGGCAGTTCGAATCTCACCAGGCCCAAGGTTGACTCATCCTTCCATCCTTCCGAGGTGGGTCAAATGGGGACCCAGATTGTTGGGGGCAAGAGGCTGATTCTGTTAACCGCTTAGAGAGGGCTGTAAAGGCACTGTGAAGCGGTATATAAGTCTAAGTGCTTGCTATCTTCCTTCCTTCCCTCCATCCTTCCCTCCTTCCTATTAGAATGCAGTATTGCAACTTAATTCTGCCAATTACCAGCAGTTCGATCCTGACCGGCTCAAGGTTGACTCAGCCTTCCGTCCTTCCGAGGTGGGCAAAATGAGGACCCAGACTGTTGGGGGCAAGAGGCTGACTCTGTCAACCGCTTAGAGAGGGCTGTAAAAGCACTGTGAAGCGGTATATAAGTCTAAGTGCTGTCGCTACTGCTACAACAGCACTGGAAAAAAGTAACTCATGATCATTTTTCACACTTACAACCATGGCAACACTTGATTTACATTCGGATACTTGGCAACTGACTCATAATTATGACAGCCGCAAGGTTTCAGAGTCACATGATCGACCTTCTGACAAGCAAAGTAAAATGGGGATAATCAGGATTCACTTACCCACCACGTGACTCATTTAAGAACGGGAGGGGGGGTGATTCACTTAACAAATGCAGCAAGGAAAGTCATAAAACTCACTTTCATAAATGTCTCACTTAGCAACATAAATTTTTGGGCTCAGTTGTGGCGTAAGTCGAGGACTACGTATATGTTGCCTACTGTCTTACGGTTTGCTTGTTATCTAACTGCACACTAAGGAAAAGATAACAAGAGCAGGCCTAACTCGGAGCAGGCCGCCCGTGGACCTACCATCCCCGTGCAAACTCCGATGGCAAAAACCATCATCCATTTCACCGCTTCATAGCGCTGGCCTTTCTGAAAGGGAGAAAGACAAAGGCAAACATCAGGTTTCTAGATCCCATGGCTGCTTTGGGAAGATGTGGTCGCTTATAACACTTGCTTAAACAAACGGTCATTTAAAAAGAAAAGGTTTAAAACCGGACGTCCCAAAGAGGGTTTTGTTTTTTTCAGGAGGCAACTGGACCTCCTTGTTTTTCCTTTGAAAATGTTTTGCTTCTCATCCAAGAAGCTTCTTCAGCTCTGATGGGACAATGGGGAATGGATGGATTTATGCTCCTTGCAGACAGCTGGCCATTGGCATCCTTTGAGAGCAGGCCTGTCAAACTGGCGGCCCATCCGGCGGGCCGGATGGGTATCATGCACAGGCCATGCTCATCCTACCTCCGCAAAGGCACTAAATGTTGTGATATGTCACGTGACGCGATCAAATTTGACACCAACCGTTTTAGAGAGTCGTTGAGGCCACTTGGGAGGCAGGGGTGAAATTCAGCAAATTCTGACAGGTTCCGTAGAACTGGTAGCGGAAAACTCCCTTTTGGAGGTGGTTGGCCATTGCTTGCTCCCCGGGGCTGGGAAAGAGGGGCCGGCATGAGGTCCCCTGGATGGTTTTGGCCCTAAGGAAAAAGGCTCAAACCTCAAACAACCAGCCATTCAGAAGACCAGGGAAGAAGGGATTTTGAATCTTAAAATCATTCAAGCGAGCGGCACAGAGGTTCCTCCCCAACCTCCTCACTGTCCGAATCTGCTGCCAGCTGTGCTGGCAGCTGGCGGGCCACAACCCTGAGTCATCCAGGTCATGGTTGTTCCAAAGAAATATTTTCTGAAAATCCTTCGAATGATGTAAGAGTATGAACCTATTTCCGGAAAAACTGGAGACTACAGGAACCGTTTGCACGAGTTAGATGACCCTGAGGAGACACAGATAAAACCTCCAAGTGCCTCAACTTCCCGCTAAAAGAATGCAAATGACCAGCTCTCTGCAAGGAGCATAAAATCCTTCTGTTCCTCACCATCGTCCAGTCAGAGCTGAAGAAGCTTCTTGGGAGGAGAAGCGAAATGTCTTCCAAAGAAGAAACAAGAAAGTCCAGTTGCCTCCTGAAAAAAGAAAGCACCTTTGGGGCAACCGTGATCTGAGAATCTCTATAGACATTGAAAACCAGAATTGTGTTTTCACTTTCAGCTCCAAATCGTGCCTCAGAGCATTTTGATAACAGCATTGTGCCAATCGATGGTCTGACTGCTTTTCCTTCCATCAACATTCCCTGGGCAAAGGTTGGACGGGCCACCTGGGGTGTGGATGATAAAAAGTTTCGCGTTGGTCAAATCCACGCCAAAACACACGGTTCAACTTTGGAAGTGCAATCAGACCTTCCAACTCAGCCTCCTCCGCAAAGATTAGATTAGTTTACAAAGAGAAAAACTATTTACAGCAACCAATGTTTGGTCGCCACGATGTAGAAAAGATGTGGAGATTCTAGAAAGAGTGCAGAGAAGAGCAACAAAGAGGATTAGGGGACTGGAGGCTAAAACATAGGAAGAACGGTTGCAGGAACTGGGTAAGTCTAGTTTAATGAAAAGAAGGACTAGGGGAGACATGATAGCAGTCTTCCAATATCTCAGGGTTTGCCACAAAGAAGGGGGAGTCAAATTATTCTCCAAAGCACCTGAAGACATTTACAAGACGCAATGAGTGGAAACTAATCAAGGCGAGAAGCAACCTAGAACTGAGGAGAAATTTCCTGACAGTGAGAACAATTATTCAGTGGAACAACCTGCCTCCAGAAGTTGTGAATGCTCCAACACTGGACGTTTTTAAGATGTTGTTGGATATCCATTTGTCTGAAGTGGTGTAGGGCAGTGGTCCCCAACCCCCGGTCCGCGGACCGG